ACTATAAAAGGGAAATTAAAAACAAAATGGCTACTCCATGCTGACTATTCCTTCGAATGCAGCTGACAATACAGAAACAGTTCATCTTTATGCTATAAGCAAGGCTGTGCCACTGTTAAACTTATAGCAATACACAGGGGGAACGTGTCACATGAAGATAGACTAAGGATGTGAGACCCCTCAACGCTCTACTATCCTATTAGGCCGGAACCCACAGTTTAAATTGGATTCTGAACCCCTACACATATCCATGGTACAACGATGTTGTAAATTTTTTTTCTCTAATGCAGCTGGCAAACTTTTAGACATGGACGTCATGTATGCCTTAAACCAAGCGCTGCACAGTCGTTACTCACTTTACATTACACAGGGGGCACGTGTAACTTGAAGATATGCTACGGACGTGGTGTAACATGCCTCCGCAACGCTCTACGATCCTATTAGACCGGGACCCTACGGTTTAAAATGGATTCCGGACCACTACACACATCATGGCACCGCCGGGACTCGAACCCGAAACCTGTGGTACTGAGCGCCAGAGCGCTAGCCACTCTGCCATTCAGGCCCCACGATATTATAAATAATAAACAATATTTTTCTTTTTAATTTCCCATTTTATGTGTTTGTGTCAACGCATCTCTTCCGATCTTACGTGGGTAGTGCTGTTCCGCTCCTCAAAAATCCTGCCGATGGCATGGGTGTTTACAGGGTTCGGAATCCACGTAAAACTGTACGTCCCAGTCCAATGAGCCTAAAGTAGGCACAAATTGACCGTCGAGCGACAGACCAAACCATTTAACATGGCACGTGTCCGGCACACGTGTGCTACGTGTGCATTGCTGTGATTGTATGCTTGTTGATTTTCAGGGGGCACGGGGAACTTGAATATAGGCTACGGACGCGAGTCACACTACCCCCTCAACGATCTACAATCATATTAAACCGGGACTTAGGTCATCAGGTCCCCTCCCATGCTGAATATTCCGGTTCACGTCTGATCAAGCAACATTGGGCGCGGACAGTACTTGGGAGGGGGACCACTGGGAACAGCGCCGGCCATTGCCATTCAAAAAATAATAAATCAATAAATGAATACCTCGTGAATGAAATTTAAAAAGAAAAAAAAAATTGACCACTAAGCAATGTTGAAAGTGGTCAAGAACATCCTTTAACAATCCCCTTATTTTTTGTGGCTAATAATCGTAAACAAGTAATATATTAAAAAGTCAATTCCTTTTTTTTTCTCTGCACTATATTTCAGGAGTCAGCAATAATGGTCATTCATTTTTAAGTTTATCTTTTGCCCTGTATGGGTAAGATACATGCAACTTAAATATAAAAAAACTAAATAGAATTAATTAAATTTAATGAATGAATTATGGTATTTGAAAAAAATGTATTCCACATCAGTGTCATCACCACAGGATTCAAAAAATTTTATTTGAACTTGATTGGAGGTCAGAAAATTTTTATGAACGATTGAAATTTGAACAAGATATATATCATAGGAGAGTGTGACCTATCTAGAAGGAATTGAAAAACAGGACAAGTTTAAATAATTGCTTGTCAAGTTGAAAGCCATGGCAGGCTTTCATAAGATCATCCTGAATGGCATACAGAGAAATATGAGTTATTAATTAAAATTAATTAGCAGTGAGGGATAATGAGTGTGTTAGGGATTTTTAAATTAATATTCAACCATTGAAAGTTTGTATCAGTTAAAAATTGAACGTGCTAACTAATGGAAGAATTAAAAAAAAAGGGTCATTTTAAGAGCACTAATGAATGCGATCATTAAAAGTTTCGCTTCAATTAATCAGAAAAAGTTTTTTTTGTCTTGATTAAGAATCTGTTAATTAATGAAATAATGAATCATCTCCCAATATTTGTTTAAAATGAAGTTAATAATGATTTTAGGCATTAGTAAAGATTTTTTCTCTCTGGATACATATCTGAACGGGATCATTTAATGTTTGTTATGGACAAATTTTATTAAAAGATCCCGAAGGAAATATTTATTTTTTATTTTTCAATTCCTTCTATTAGCTCACACTCTCCCTATATATATCTTGCTGAAATGTCCAATCGTTCATAAAATACTTGTTATTCATCCACTCAAGTTCAAATACAATTTTTTTTTTATCTTGTAGTGGATGACACTGGATGTTAATGCAGTTTTTTCAAATAGTAATTCAGTAATTAACTTTCTGTTTAGATTTGAGTTGCATATATCTACCAATAGATGGCGTCAGATAAACTTTAAAAAAATGAATGAAAATTATTTATAAAGGACTTTCTTCAATAGGGCCTGAATGGCAGAGTGGCTAGCGCTCTGGCGCTCGGTACCACAGGGTTCGGGTTCGAGTCCCGGCGGTGCCATGGATGTTTGTAGCGGTTTGGAATCCACTTTAAACTGTAGGTCTTGGTCTAATAGGATGGTAGAGCGTTGCGGGGGCATTGTTACTCCGCGTCCGTAGCTTATCTTCAAGTTACACTCTCGCCCTGGGTAATGCAAAGTGAGTAACGTCTGTGCAGCGCTTGCCTTAAGGCATCCAAGACCAACCTGTCTAATAGTGTTTGCCAGCTGCATTAGAAAGAAAATTTTCTTCAACAGAGTGAAAAAAAGTAGGAACTGACTTTAATATTTTTTTTTATGTTACTTGTTTAGAAGTAAATGTAATTAATAAATTCAAATTACATCAATGCTCTTGGTTTGAGGATTATAAATAACGAATTTTCTCTTGTAACTTTTTGGATTCGTATAAAAGAAGGATTCTTGTCAATATTTAAAAAGACTTTGAACATTTCGGTGAGCTAGAATGACCGAGTATCTGGAACTCGATACCACAGGTTTCGGATTCGAGTCCCGGTGGTGCCATGAGTGTTTGTAGTGGTTCGGAATCCACTTTATATAGTAGTGCCCGGTCTCATAGGATCGCAGAGCGTTGTCTCGAGTCCGTCTTCAGCCCTCGTGGTTCCTCGCTAAATGTGAAGCTGTCTATGACCCTCAGCCATGCAGCCGTCGCCTGCGAAGGGGCATTCTGGACCTGATGCAGGCTTCCCTGCACCAGGGGGATTAGTGTTGCTGTTTCTTATCCCACTTGGCTGGCCAAGCCGCTAGCCCATACGTACTCATGATTGAAGGGGAAGGAAGCCGCTACTGTTGTGAAGTGGAGCACCCGTAGGTAGAAGTCTGACTTTGGCACCGTGAAGCTCTTACAGTCAGAGGAGACCGGGACCTACGGCTTAAAGTGGATTCCGAACCACTACGAACCCCCGGGATTCGAACCCGAAACCTGTGGCACCGGGCGCCAGAGCGCTAGACACTCGGCCATTCAGGTCCCAAATGTGTGAATGCCAATGGCACGCGGTGTTCCCAGGTGGTCACCCACTCAAATACTGATCGCGCCCAATGATGCCTGACTTCGGTGATCTAACGAGAAGGGGGATCAGTAATAACAACAAAGTGTATTCTGGAAAATTTTTATTAAAAGTCCTCGAAGCAAATGGTTTTTTTTAAATATTTTTGAAGTAAATGTAATTCATAAATTAAAATGACATCAATGAAAATAATAACTTTAAAAAAAATCAGGGATATTCAAAAACTCATTTTTTAAGGAATTTCATAAGAAATTGTTATTTTTCGGAATCTACTTTAAGCCGTAGGTTCCAGTCTCATATGACAGACTTCTACCTACGGTTGCCAAAATTACAACATAAACTGATCCCATTCCACCAAGAGTCCATAGGCGTTCTTTTTTTGGTCTAGATGGCTGCCAAGTGGGATAAGTAACAATAAGTTTAGAGAACTCGAGAATATTTCTTTACTAAACATTGGTGTGGGGATCATGGATTTCATGTGCACCCATCATGGATTCCATGAATTAATTCATTAAATTAGGCACGTGTACTAAAATAGAAATTTTAATTTTCAGAACATTTTGTACTATAGATGTATATACTATGCTGATGTATATACCAACGGCCATACCATGCTGAATATACCGGTTCTCGTTAGATCACCGAAGTCAAGCATCATTGGGAGCGGCCTTGGGTGGGGGACCACCTAGGAACACAGCGTGCCGTTGGCATTCACAAATTTGGGACCTGAATGGCCGAGTGGCTAGCGCTCTGGCTCCCGGTGCCACAGGTTTCGGGTTAGACTCCCGGCGGTGCCATGGATGTTTGTAATGGTTCGGAATCCACTTTATATAGTAGTCCCCGGTCTCCTATGACTGTAAGAGCGTAACGGAGCCAAAGTCAGACTTCTACCTACGGGTGCTCCACTTCACAACAGAAGCGGCTTCCTTCAATCATGAGTACGTATGGGCTCGTGGGCTTGGCCAGCCAAGTGGGATAAGAAGCAACAAACAGATGCATATAGCAAATTAGCATATAACATATTCTTAACATATTTTATAAACACATACTCTCAACAGACCTATCCATTGCTCCAATTCTAACTTGCGATCACATGAATAGTAGTCTTGTACATAAAAAACCATACACAACAGATGATGATGGCCGAGTGGCTAGCGTTCGGTACTACAGGTTTCGGGTTCGAATCCCGGCGGTGCCATGGTTGTTTGCCATGGTTCGGAACCCACTTTGAAAAGTAGGTCCCGGTCCTAAGAGGACCGTAGAGAGTTGCGGGGGCATTGTTACTCCGCCACCGTGGCTTATCTTCAAGTAATGCAAAGTGAGTACGTCTGTGCAGCACTTGCCTTAAGGCATCCAAAGACCAAGCTGTCTGTATTTGCCAGCTGCATTAGACAGAAAGAAAAATATTATTCGAATGCAACTGGCAAACACTTAGACAGTTGTCTTTGACGCCTTGTCTTTTAGCACTACCCAAGAAGTGCATGTAGCTTGAAGATAAGTTACGGACGCGGACTGTACCTACCTCTATAAGTGGAACTTTATATGGAGTGCATATGGTCAGCAGGAATTGATACATACTTAGTATTGATGCACATATTTTATATATGCACATAAACTAATCCTTCTGAAGGTGAACACACTTTCAAATGAATTTCCAGATACAATGTCCAAACTGATACCAGTCACGTGACGTATTTCGAGTCCTCCAAATGGCTACCTAGATGCGCAGTCCTTAGGTGTTTGGAACAGTGTTTTAACTTTCGAGACTCCAGTTGACTCAATTGGTGACTTCTTTGCGCAATGTCTAGCATCTTTGAAAGTATTCGCCAGTCACTGCTTTGATGCTGCAAAGTATGCACTAGTGCTGGTAGTAGCAATTTGGAGCATTCAGTGAAACGTCGGTAATACATGCCGGTAATACAGTAATAATCATACAGTAATTCCGGAGATTCCACTTTAAGTCGTAGGCCCCAGTCTCATGTAACTGTAAGAGAGTCACGGAGCCACGTCAGACTTCTACCTACGGGTGTTCGAACTCAACAAAAGCTACCCACCTTTCCCTCCAACCATGAGTCCCTACGTGTTCGTGGGCTCGGTCTAGATGACTGCCAAGTCAGATAAGTAACAGCAACAACAACATGACCTGACTAACGGAGATGGATATACGATTGCATGAGGAAAAATACGTCTTCAGTTGGGACTTGAATATAATGAGGCTCCGTCTCTATACACCATGTGAGTACATGATTTTGGGGCGTGGACATTGAAGAGTCACATTGAAAGTGAAGGATTATCGCATGGCGTCCTCGATCCTTTTTTAAAGTATTCATTATAACCATAATTATAGGACTTCATTAACCATAGGACTCAGGTTCATTGACGACGCTCATTGCAGTCACTGCTTTCAGAAGCAAGGTGACTCTGCGGCGATAGTTAAAACTTGTGTAAAAAGTCTTTAATACATCGTCAGATGTCTTGCTAGGTGTTTTCCGGATTTTATTTCATACGACCCGCAAATGGGGGCCTGACACCTGAGTGAGTGAGCCTGAATAGCCACCTGAAAGTGAACTGTTCGTAGCATACATTACATTCAACAAAAAATGGAAACGAGCTCACCTAGAAAACCACTACTACACCACATCACATCACTGTGCCTAGAGAGCTGAGTTGCCCCTTTACAGTTTGGGGATGATGTGGGTGAGAAGAAGTCTGATTGGGCTCTGGGACGCTCTACGGTCCTGCTAGACCAGGGCCTATTGCTTAAAGTGGATTACGAACCACTACAAACATCCAATGCACTACCGGGACTCGAACCCGAAACCTGGGGTACCGAGAGCCAGAGCGATAGCCACTCGGCCATCAGACCCATTTAATTTACTCAGTTAACTGTTAATACAATTATATAAATGTATTTAAAAATTTGAATTTTTTTAATCTGTAATGCACGATTTACTTTGGTTTTTAATCTGTATTAAGGCTATTCATTAGATAATAAATGTTTTTGTATCAGGAATAAATATATAAAGAATATTTTTAATTAAAAGCAATTTTTATTTCATCTTCCGCTGATAAAGTATTTCGCTCGAAAAATATAATAAGATTCTAAAAAAGGGCAATTTTTTTCTTAATTCCTTCCTGATTACTTTGCAATTGATTTCCTAATGCTTTTTTTTCTTCTCTCTATGCATACAACTGCACTAATCTGCAATCTCAGCCTTTTTCTTGCGATTTGTTGTGTTTGAGACAGATAGAGTGCTGTCTGGCGAATTTTTTGTTTTCACTTTTTCCGAAGAAAAATTTTCATAACTCATTTATCTGAAACTTTTCCTGAGTAATCAGTTTTCGCTTTAAGTAAGAATGAAAATAAAAAAAAAACGATGCTATTTTTTATTAAAATCATAGTTTATTTACATAGTTTCTAAATAATAAGTTTATTATTCTTTGAAACATTGTTTTATTTAATATATTTTTTAGTCATTGTTTTGATAGGTTGTATTGTTTAACTATAATAATATTCATTTATCAATGTTTTTTAAAATTAATACTACAATGGCTTGTTATAGGTAATTGTCTTTCTAAAGAGATAAAATTTTAAATTTTTATTTAACATTATGTCATTTAATGAAACCCTTTGTTATTTATATAGAAGGCAAACAAAAAAATTATTTTGTTAGTTTGTATTCAAAAATTTCTTTGTATTTCTTTAAAAAAAAATTGTCTTTCGTAAAGCAAAAAAATCTATTCATTTTCGTTTCATGTTGTTATTAGTAACAACATCATTTACTGTTGCTGTTCTAATGCAGCTGGAAATACAAAGACAGTTCATCTTTATGCCATGAACAAGGCCTGCACGGCTTTTACTCATTGAACATTACACAGGGGGCACTTGTAGCTTGAAGATAGGCTACGGACGTGAGTCACACTACCCCTACAACGCTCTCCGATTCTATGAGCCCGGCACCTGCGACTTAAACCGAATTTCTAACCACTACAAACATATATGGAACCACCGGGACTTGAATCCAAAACCTGTGGCTCCGAGTTCCAGAGCACTAGCACTAGGCCCCAAAGCAGGTCATGCGCAGCATGAATATCAGCCAACTCAGCGTTAGTGAAACGATGCATGCACAATCAATGGCTTTAAGGAGAAACCAACTCATGCCGAGCTAAGTGTTCGGGTTCAACGCTAGCTACCCGCCATCCGGTCATACTTTCCTATGTGATCATGCTTGCTATCGGCCTTTTCTACAAGTGTGTTCAAGATGCCCCAAAACACACTGCATTTTGGAATACGCTTTCTGCATTTTATTGGTTTCTTAGGTCATCATGGACTTTCTATATATTAAATAATATATATTAAATAATCTTGTATGTAAATAATAAATAAAAAATATGGTATATAAATATGTAAATAATCTTGTCAAAGTTTATGTTTAAAAAATATAATAGCATTTAATTATAAATTTACCATTTTACAATGGGATACCTGGGGCCTGATGGCTGAATGACTGCCGCTCTGATGTTCTGTACCACAGGTTTCGGGTTCGAATGTCAGGTACCATGGATGTTTGTAGTGGTTCGGAATAATCCTTAAACCGTAGGTGCCGGTCTGACTTGATCGTCGCGCGTTGTGTGACTCGTATGCGTAGTTTATCTTCAAGCTACATGTGCCCCCTGGGTAGTGCTCATTGAGTCACAGCGGTGCAGTCGTTGCCTATGGCTTAAAGCTGAACTGTCTCTGTATTGTCAGTTGCACTGGAACAAGAACAACAATGAGACAACAACCTTACTTCAGTTTAGTTTCTATCTTAATTTGGAAAGAGCTGCTGCAGTGGTGGGATTTTTCAACCTGTAGGATTCACATGCACATATCTCCCGCAGACAGAGTAACTTTTGATTGGGTTCAATTGGTTGAGATTTGAACCGATCTTCGTTCGTCAAAGATACTTACCGTCACTGCACTGCTATATAGGTTGAGGGTTCAGATCAGAACCCTGTTCCTTTTCGCATTTATTATTGCTACGTTGTGCTTTAAATTTATTCATGACTTTCCAACTAGTAATTAA